TTGACAGAGTAATTTGAGTTAACGAGCTCCTTAACAAGCTTGGTCTCAGAACGAATTAAACTCGTAAGTCAAGGCCCCACTGTAGATATAGATATAGATATAGATATAGATATAGATATAGATATAGATATAGATATAGATATAGATATAGATATAGATATAGATATATAGATATAGATATATAAAGTGATCTCCAACTTTCAGACATTCCTGTGGATTTCCTCCTTAAAATTGATAATGGAATGAAACGCCCTCTGGTAGTGATGTCTGCTTGGGAACATTCTTCTCCATTCCCAATGGTGAAGTTTGGAAGTCAGTGACTCACAGTTAGCTTCAAATATATTATGAAAGCACTCGTGTGTTGGAAACTAACAGTTGAAAATGGTTATGTCAGGACTTAATTCCTCTCCCCTGCCCCACCCCCCAAGCCATGCAGGCAGATATTGGTTATGAGGCTGAAGTAACTCTGTAGGAACTGAGATCTCAGTGAGGGGCTGGAGGAGGGGAGGGGCTTGAACCAAGAACATGACTGCAATTGGAATTCATGTAAGCACTTTCATTAAACAAAGAGTTGCAATGGTCTGTGTGAGGATGAAGAACTAGAAGGTGAAACCACAACTCTCCCTGGGTAGATGTGCAATTTCATACTCACACCAGCAGCCTTTCTTGCTGACTTCCTGATTCTCTACGGAGACCAAGACTCAACATGGCCGAGTTCCAGAGTGTTTCAGAGGGACACGACCTGGGATATGAGACTTGGATGACTAAGATATATGATCATTTAGGACAATAGCATTGCTTAAAAATAAACCTTTTAAAGAAACTTGTTATAAACTGCATTACTAAAATAAATGTTGTGTCCAACACTTGAATTAAATTACCTTGAATACTGTTTTTTCACTACACACGTTATTATTTCATCAAGAATTTGAATATAACACTTACTCCAAAATAAACATATCAAAAATAAACATTGCTGATTTACCTCAGAAAAAGTCATTGACTATCCTTCCTTGATAATATTATCCAAATAAAATTTCAAGAATATGTACAGACAGGGTATTCTATCTCCTTTTATGAGGATCCCACTTCTATCAGAATAGGACCACACTCTTGTGACCTCATATAACCTTAATGACCTCCCTAAACCCCCTATCTCCAAATACAGACATATTGGGAGTTAGGCCTTCAAAATATCCATTGTGAGGGGACACAATTCAGTCCTTAAGAGCGATTCAAGTTCATTATGTGTTATATAAAACCACCCCAAAACGGATTCTCTTAATGCAACAAAACTTCAGTATTTCTTATGAGTCTATGGGTTAGCCAGGTGGTTCTTCTGCTTCATGTGCTATTGGCAAAAGGTTTTTCCCTAGATCAAAACATGATTTCCCCCCCCCCAAAAAAAAAAAACACACAAAAAAACACACCATTTTCCGACCTTCCTGACTTCCATGTTATTCCTTCGCTTGCAGCATCCACTAACAAGTCTCCTTCCAGCCCCTATCCACTAGCCAGTCCCAAGGCCATGTCACATGCATTAGGTTTTTAATAGGGAGCACCTAAATCTCAGGACCTCTTTTCTCTTACAACTAGTCTTTGTTGTGAAATAAAACATCCAAAGTTTAATGGCTTAAATCAACCAAAATTCATCATTGCACGTAATTCTGGGGTGGCCGAGCCCTTCTCTGCTGCGCAGCTGGCAGGGCAGCTGTCTAGGGCAGCAGGGAGCTGGAAAATACCTTCTTTGAAGATATTTTAAGTTCCTTAAAAAACTGAATTTAGAGAGGAAGGCAGAGATGGAGAAAAACAGCCATGTGCAAGACAAACATAAATTGGTTGCCTCCTTAACGTGCCCTGATATTTGGAATCACACCCCCGATCTGGCATTTGTGGAACCAGGAATCAAACCTGCAACCTTTTGGTGGAGGGCACTACATCCAAACAAATGAGCTAAACGGGACACGGTTAGAAAGACCTTTGAGATAAACTTCTTTACATCGTGATATATTTGTCAGTCATATGTAATATAATGTAACATCAAATTTATTGCATGTCCCTTCAAAGAGAATCTACTAGTACAGCTCAGCATGTGTGGTTCAGTGGGTTAGAGTGTCATCCCTCCCACCAGAAGGCCACAGATTTCATTCCCAGTCAGGTCTGGTACCTGGGTGGAAGGTTTGATCTCCAGCCTGCCCTGTGTGCCTGAGGGAGGCAACCAATTGGTGTCTCTTTCATATCAGTTTCTTTCTCTCTACCCACTATCCCTCCCATTCTCTGTAAGATCAATGGAAATATCCTTGGATAAGGATTTTAAAGAGAAACTTTATTTTTTTAATATGTTATTGATTTAAGAGAGGGGGAAAGAAACATCAATGATGAGAGAGAATCAATGTTCCACTAACTCCTACATGCCCTCTATTGGGGATTGAAGGGGAAAGCCAGGGCATGTGCCCTGACCAGGAATCTAACCTGACCTCTGGTTGATAGGTCAATGCTCATCCACCAAGCAAGGCAGGCCTGGCCTGCGGGGATCAGGCTGAAACCAGCTCTTCTACATCCCCTGAGGGGTCTCGAATTGTGAGAGGGTGCAGGTCAGATCGAAGGACCCCACCAATGCACAATCGGGGCCTGAGAGAGACCTCGGGAGGGCTAAAGGGCGTGTCTGGCCCATCTTGTCCAGGCCCGATCGGCCAGACCCCAGCACCAAGCTAATCTACCAGTCAGAGTGTCTGCCCCTTGGTGGTCAGTGCACATCATAGCGACTGGTCGAAAGAACGGTCGGACACTTAGCATATATAAGATCATAGCCCATTTGACCACTCCCTGACTCCCGAATCCATTTCTTGTTTTGTTTTCTATTTCTGAATGACCCGTCATGTATGGGTAACAAACCTGCCAAATATATACACTGAAGAAGACACTGGGACATATTTTTAGCTCAAGAATCATTAATTCTGGCGCTAGCAGGTGTCGCTCACTGGATACAGCATTGGCGCGTGGACTGAGAGTCCTGGCTTTGATTCCGGTAAAGGGACATACCTACCTTACAGGCCCTTGCAGGAGGCTACCAATCGATGTGTCTCTCCAACAAAGACGTTTCTCTCTCTGTGTCTGTCCCCCTTCCTTTCACTCTTTCTAAAAATCAATGAAAAATGGCCTCAGGTGAGGATTCACAACAACAAAAAGATTCATTAATTTTGTCGTGGCCAAGGAGTAACTTAGCTGGTGGAACGTCATCCCAATGTGCCAGGATTGTGGGTTCAAGCCCAGATTGGGGCACATCCAGGGGTCACAAATAAATAACAAGAAAGGAATGTCATTAATTCTGCAACAGTTTGTATCGTGGCACATTCTCTGTAATGTAAGCATAAAAAGAAGTAAAACCATTGATCAAATATCCAATAATTACATATCCCTTTATAACCACAATTTTTACCACAAAATGTGTTAGTGAGCATCTAATGTGAAGTATGTTTCATTGAAAAAGATTCCATCGATAGACAAACAGGAGGACATTCTCTGCGTAGTGAGTAGGCATGAGTGGGAGTAAGCTGAGTCCTGGGAGCTTTTTTTTTTTTTGGTCCAAAAGCAATGTATCTTCCAGACTTTCAATCTATCTCAGCATAAGCATTTAATTATTAAAAATAGCCAAACCGGTTTGGCTCAGTGGAAAGAGCGTCGTCTTGCTGACTGAAAGGTCCCAGGTTCGATTCCGGTCAAGGACATGTACCTTGGTTGCAGGCACATCCCCAGTAGGAGGTGTGCAGGGGGCAGCTGGTCGATGTTCCTCTCTCATCGATGTTTCTAACTCTCTATCCCTCCCCCTTCTCCTCTGTAAAAAATCAATAAAATATATTTTTAAAAAGAATAATAATAAAAAATAATAAAACCTGCCCAGATGACATGGCTCAGTGGTTGAGCATAGGACTATGAACCAGAAGACGGGGTTCCCTTCCTGGTTCAGGGCGCATGCCCCGGTTGAGGGCTCCATCCCAGCATGGGGTATGAAGGAGGCAGGGGATCCATGATTCTCACCATTGATGTTTCATTCTCGCTCACTGTCTCCCTTCCTCTCTGCATTCAATAAAATTTTGTTTAAATTTTAAAAAAAGATAAAATAATAAAATCTTAATACTAAGATAAAATACTTTAAATTTTTTAAAAACTCATACTATTTCTCAGAAAACCAGGAGTCCCTCCATTGAAAATAAGCTTTTAGAAATATCTGTGGAACATACATACATACAGATGTGATCAGCTTGATAAAAACTCAACCACCACAATCTTCAGAATTTCCACAGAAAACAGAATAATGAATATTAGGTTATTTCAAGTTTAAAATTATTTTGGGTTTAAATGATGCCACTAAAAACTTGAAAGCTAGATTTCCTGTTTCCTTTTATGTTCAAATAAAGAAATTAACCTCCTTACCACACGTCTCTTCATGAAGCAGTAACATGCAACTTGGCCACAGGTTTTGGTGAGGTGCTCACGTTGAGAAGGGGTGTCTATTCACACATGGACTAGAGCCTGCAAGTAGGCTCTGGACTATCAGCCAGGACGGTCAGTAAGGACAGCTTAGGGGCCCCATCTGGATGCCCTGAGAGCTCTACACAAACCAGGAAATAAGAGACTACAAGTGCAGTGATGTATTAATGTACACAAATGTGCAGGAACCTATGGAAAAAACAACCAAAAGAAAACACACACACACACACACACACACCCCAAAATGATAGAAGAAACACCTTTGCCTGATTTTATGAATGCATCTGAGGTTACAGAATAGAATTAGGGTGTTCTGACTCAAAAGTATTAATAACTGTTAACAAAATGCAAAGTTCAGAGATAGGACTAAGGTTAAAAGAGGGGTTTTAAATGACATAATTAGTGTTAAAATGTATCATGAATGTGATTTTTGAACAGTAAGCATTTATTATTCTCTGTACCTCCTTCTCACAAAAAAACCTTGTTCAGACAGAGGCTGCTGCCGGGCGCGGTGTCGGTGGGTTTGTTGGTGTGTCTCTCAGCGTCGGTGTCTGTGCCGTTGAACTGCCCGCCATGGCTGAACTTGATCCGTTCGGCGCCCCTGCCGGCACTCCCGGCGGCCCCGCTCTGGGGAACGGGGTGGCCGGCGAAGAAGACCCGGCCGCGGCCTTCTTGGCGCAGCAGGAGAGCGAGATTGCGGGCATCGAGAACGACGAGGCCTTCGCCATCCTCGACGGCGGCGCCCCTGGGCCCCAGCCGCACGGCGAGCCGCCGGGGAGTCCGGATGGTGTTGATGGAGTGATGAATGGCGAATACTACCAGGAGAGTAATGGTCCGACAGACAGTTACGCAGCTATTTCACAAGTGGATCGATTGCAATCAGAGCCTGAAAGTATCCGTAAATGGAGAGAAGAGCAAATGGAACGCTTGGAAGCCCTTGATGCCAACTCTCGGAAGCAAGAAGCAGAGTGGAAAGAAAAAGCAATAAAGGAGCTGGAAGAGTGGTATGCGAGGCAGGATGAGCAGTTACAAAAAACAAAAGCAAACAACAGGGCAGCAGAAGAAGCCTTTGTAAATGACATTGACGAGTCATCCCCAGGCACTGAGTGGGAACGGGTGGCCCGGCTGTGTGACTTTAACCCTAAGTCCAGCAAGCAGGCCAAAGACGTCTCCCGCATGCGCTCTGTCCTCATCTCCCTCAAGCAGGCCCCCCTGGTGCACTGAAGAGCCACGCTGTGAAACACTACATCTGCAATATCTTAATCCTACTCAGTGAAGCTCTTCACCTAATTGGATTAATCATGTTGAGTTCTTTTGGACCAAACCTTTTGTCTTTAGAGTTACTCATTGTTTGTGATTGCATGTTTCTTCCTTCAACTGTGTTCTCCCGGGCAGAGAGGAGGGGGAGGTGGCAGCAGGGGGAGGGAAGCCTCCCACGGTAGCCTCAACCTGTGCTTTTTGTGCATTCTGAGAATAAATTTGTTTTGAACAATAAAAAAAAAAAAAAAAAAAAAAAAAACCTTGTTCAGCTAGGGCCCTGCCATGGTCTCGCGTTCCTCTAGAAAGAATGACTAACATAAGGCTACATTCAGGAAAGTGAGAATAAAATCTGTTTAACATGGGCTAAACCCACTCCAATAAAGAAGTTAACGGGATAACACTGAGAAATGCTTAAGGTTTCCAATGAAAATCAGGACAAGAAAAATCATTCCAATTACAAAGTACACAGATGCCAATTTGTGGTACTCCGAAAATTCATATTCATATTGAAAACTATAGATGTCAGCATGAGAATTGAATGATAGGCTATCTACTTCATAAAAATAAAGCAAAATATTCACCAAATTCTGATGTCAATCACTGCATTAGTGAATACCAAACAACTGAGCAGAAGCTACAGGAGCTTGAGGGGGTGATGTGGGACAGGAAGAGCTTGATATGCTGTGGTCATAGCAGTACAAAAAGAATGGCAGTGCCCTAGCCAGTTTGGCTCAGTGGATAGAGCGTCGGCCTGCGAACTGAAAGTTCCCAGGTTCGATTCTGGTCAAGGGCACATGCCCAGGTTTCGGGCTCCATCCCCAGGGGGCTTGCAGGAGGCAGCCGATCCATGATTCTCTCTCATCATGGATGTTTCTATCTCCCTATTTCTTCCTCTCTGAGATCTATAAAAATATGTTTAAAAAAAAAAAAAAAGAATGGCAGCCTAGGAGACAGAGTGAAAAAGCAGAGAGGAACAAGAAATGGGAAATGAGAAGGAGAACCAAGATGGCGGCATAGGTTAACGCCGAAGTTTGCTGCTTTGAACAACTACTTCAAAAGTGAAACTAAAAGACGGAAGGGACATCACCCAGAACCACAGGAACGCTGGCTGAGTGGAAGTCCTACAACTAGGAGGAAAGAGAAACGCATACGGACACTCAGAGGAGGCGCAGTGCTGAAGTCAAATTCTGAGGTGCGGAGTGTGCGGAGCGGGCTGGCGGCGGAGGGCGCGGTTGGCGTTTTCAATAGGGAGGGAGTCGCAGACTCTGAGCTCCAGATACAGGCGAGTCTTTAGGGACCCAGACTCAAACGGGAGAAGCGGGACTGTCTGGCTTCGGTCAGAGTGAGTGCAGCTTTCTCTCCGAGGTTTGCAGCGGGTGCTGGGACTCAGAGAGGCAGAGCCCCTGGGGACAGGACTGAGAGCCGCCATAACTGCTCTCTCCACCCCACCCTGTTGATCCCGTGCGACCCGCCCCGCCCAAGCCCTGCACACAGGCATTTGCCGGATAGCCTCAGGCAAACACGAGATTAGCACCTCCCTAGAGGACAGAAGTTCTCTCACTGCTGACACAGCTGATTCTCATAACCACTTGGCCTGGAGGTCAAACCCTCCCTGGTATTAGCTACAACAAGGTTTAACTATAAGACTGCGAACAAAGACCACTAGGGGGTGCACCAAGGAAGCATAACAAGATGCGGAGACAAAGAAACAGGACAAAATTGTCAATGGAAGATATAGAGTTCAGAACCACACTTTTAAGGTCTCTCAAGAACTGTTTAGAAGCCGCCGATAAACTTAATGAGATCTACAAGAAAACTAATGAGACCCTCGATCTTATATTGGGGAACCAACTAGAAATTAAGCATACACGGACTGAAATAACGAATATTATACAGACTCCCGACAGCAGACCAGAGGAGCGCAAGAATCAAGTCAATGATTTGAAATGCGAGGAAGCAAAAAACACCCAACCGGAAAAGCAAAATGAAAAAAGAATCCAAAAATGCGAGGATAGTGTAAGGAGCCTCTGGGACAGCTTCAAGCGTACCAACATCAGAATTATAGGGGTGCCAGAAGATGAGAGAGAGCAAGATATTGAAAACCTATTTGAAGAAATAATGACAGAAAACTTCCCCCACCTGGTGAAAGAAATGGACTTACAGGTCCAAGAAGCGCTGAGAACCCCAAACAAAAGGAATCCAAAGAGGTCCACACCAAGACACATCATAATTAAAATGCCAAGAGCAAAAGATAAAGAGAGAATCTTAAAAACAGCAAGAGAAAGAAACTCAGTTACCTACAAGGGAATACCCATACGACTGTCAGCTGATTTCTCAACAGAAACTTTGCAGGCCAGAAGGGAGTGGCAAGAAATATTCAAAGTGATGAATACCAAGAACCTACAACCAAGATTACTTTATCCAGCAAAGCTATCATTCAGAATTGAAGGTCAGATAAAGAGCTTCACAGATAAGGAAAAGCTAAAGGAGTTCATCACCACCAAACCAGTATTATATGAAATGCTGAAAGGTATCCTTTAAGAAGAGGAAGAGGAAGAAAAAGGTAAAGATACAATTTATGAACAACAAATATGCATCTATCAACAAGTGAATCTAAGAATCAAGTGAATAAATAATCTGATGAACAGAATGAACTGGTGATTATAATAGAATCAGGGACATAGAAAGGGAATGGACTGACTATTCTTGGGGGGGAAAGGGGTGTGGGAGATGCGGGAAGAGACTGGACAAAAATCGTGCACCTATGGATGAGGACAGTGGGTGGGGAGTGAGGGCGGAGGGTGGGGCGGGAACTGGGAGGAGGGGAGTTATGGGGGGGAAAAAAGAGGAACAAATGTAATAATCTGAACAATAAAGATTTAATTTAAAAAATGGGAAATGAAAGAAATAGAATTAATTTTTGTGAATTCAGCTAGCAGTGTAGCCTGGGAAAGGTGTCCTCTCTCTACATGTAGAGTTTGTGCTAATTCTGAATCCTGGGTACAACAATGTCACTGCTATTGCAACATTCCTCTTAATTATGGAAAACCTATGACACAGACAGCACTGTCTTGAGTGTACTTCCGTTCACCTAAACATCAAAACCACAAATGGACATGCCCTCATGAAGTTTTCATCTGAACACATTGGCACAGAAAAGGAAGTAACTTTGATGACATCATTTATAAAACTCAATAACTATCTTAAAAGATTCATTCAATAGTGTACATCTCTAATAGAATAAAATGTGCACCTTACAATGTATCCAATATTCCATGAAAAATGTGCATAAGTGAAGTCCATATAATATAAAACAGCTCACAGATCTCTAAGGCAGAAACAATCAACCCCATGAATTCACTCATACACCAGGAATAACATATAGCAGTATCAAGTGATATGGGAACAGAATCACATTAATATTTCCTTTTCCAAATACCTGAAATGATTTCAGTTTTAAATATGTAACACTCTAAAGAATTGTACATATGGAAACATTAATTCTTTTGATATATTCAAGTATAGAAATATTACCTAATTATATTTAAAGTTGGGAGTACACTGTGTGATAAACTTTCTGATGTAGAGCAATACCTGAAACGCATGTTGGCTACCTATCTAGTGTGCATTCAGTGATACTTTAAAATTCATAATCAGTTACATACTTGGGTGACGGTTTTACATTTTAAAGTCACTTTAGGAAAAAATTCCTTGGACTTTTGTAAACTATATATTTTGAACAAAAGTCCTCTCTCCTATATCATGAATGTAGAATTCCTACTAATTACAATCCCTAATATTGACCGAGGCAGTCAGTCCAACTATATGATTTCCCACATTCTTCAGTTTTAAGGTTTCCTGCTAGAATGAATGCCAATGTGAGGAATTAGCTATGGATGCTGATTAAAGATGTTAGGAAATTTTTTACATTTGTATTGATTCTCTCCAGTATGAATGCTGATGTCGGGTAAGGTTTGCATACTGAGTAATCTTTGTCACATTCTTTGTAACTGTTGGGCTTCTATCCAGTAATAATTATCAGATGTTGTATGACATATAAACGTAGACACTTTGACATATACCTCATAATTTGTAAGACCTTATTTTATCACTCTCAATGATAAATCATGGTTAAATCTTTGGATGAAAACTTTGTATTATGCTCTTTCTCTTTAGAATGATTCCTAAACTGTTGAGTAGGTTAGACCTCAGGTTAAAGGCTTTCTCAGATTTTTTAGTGTAAGGCTTCCCTCCACTATAGAAATTTCTGTTATTCGGTACATTTTGAGCTGTGGGTACAAGATCTTGCACATGCTCTACGTTTGTTTTTTTAAATATATTTTATTGATTTTTTAAAGAGAGGAAGGGAGAAGGATAGAGAGTTAGAAACATCGATGAGAGAGAAACATTGATCAGCTGCCTCCTGCACACTCCCCACTGGGGACGTGCCCGCAACCAAGGTACATGCCCTTGACCGGAATCGAACCTGGGACCCTTGAGTCCGCAGGCCGACGCTCTATCCACTGAGCCAAACCGGTCAGGATTGCTCTACATTTTTAAGGACTCTCTTTAGTATGAAGTCTCTCAGGTACAGTAAGACATGAATGGCTTTTAAAGGCTTTTCTACATTTTTCACATTCATAAGGCTTCTTTCCAGTATGAGTTCTGGGATGTTCAGTAACTTCTCAGAGCTGGTAAAGGACTTACAACACTCCTCACATCTTCTCTCAAGTATGAACTCTGCTGTGCAGTAAGGCAGGAACACTGATGAAAAACTGTGTTATATTTTCTATATTGATATAGAAAAGGCTTCTCTCCAGAATGAACTCTCTGATGCTTACCAAGGCCTGAGGAGCTGCCAAAAGATTTGCCACATTCTCTACAATTACCTGGTATAAGGTTTCTTTCCAGTGTGAACTCTCTGATGATTAATAAGGGATGAGGACTTGCTAAAGGCTTTCCCACATTCTCTACATTCATAAGGCTTCTCTCCAGTGTGAACTCTCTGATGATAACCAAGGTTTGAGGGATGGCTAAAGGCTTTGCCACATTCTCTACATGTGTAAGGCTTCTCTCCAGTGTGAGTTCTCTGATGTGCAGTAAGGTTTGAGGAGCTCCTAAAGGGTTTACCACATTCTCTACATTTGTAAGGTTTCTC